TTTTTTTTTTTTTTTTTTTTTTTTTTTTTTTTTTTTTTTTGACAGACAGAGATCACAAGTGGGCAGAGAGGCAGGCAGAGAGAAAGAGAGGAGGAAGCAGGCTCCATGCTGAGCAGAGAGCCCGATATGGAGCTTGATCCCAGGACCCTGGGATCATGACCTGAGCGAAGGCAGAGGCTTAACCCACTTAGCCACCCAGGCGCCCCTGCAGGTCTTTTTTAAAAAATATATATTTAATTTATTTATTTGACAGAGAGAGAGAGAGAGAGGCAGGCAGAGGGAGAAGCAGACTCCCCTCGAGCAGGGAGCCTGATGCAGGACTCGATCCCAGAACCCTGGGATCATGACCTGAGCCAAAGGTAGATGCCTAACCAACTGAGTTACCTAGACGCCCCCCGCAGGTTTCTTTTGAGCACCTATTACATGCTGGGCACCGCTCTTGGTCCGGGTTATCCCGAAGGCATGAAAATGACCCATTAGTCATGGTCTCCCCTTTATTTATTATTTTTTTGAGAGAGAGAAAGAGCACATGGGTGGGGAGAGAAGGGCAGAGAAAGAGGGAGAGAGGGAATCTTAAGCAGGTTCCACACCCAGGGCTGAGCCCCATGCAGGGCTTGATCTCATAACCCTGAGATCATGACCTGATCCAAAATCAAGAGTTGGATGCTTAACCAACTGAGTCACACAGGTGCTCCAAGATTTAATTTTTTTATCTTTTCTTTTTTTTTTTTTTAAAGTAGGCTCCATGCCCACTGTGGAGTCCAACATGGGCCTTGAACTCAACCCTGAGATCAAGACCTGAGCTAAGGGACACCTGGGTGGCTCAGTTGTTAAGTGTCTGCCTTCTGCTCAGGTCATGATCCCAGGGTCCTGGGATTGAGCCCCACATGGGCTCCCTGCGTGTCTGGAAGCCTGCTTCTCCCTCTCCTGCTTGTGTTCCCTCTCTCACTGGGTGTCTCTCTGCGAAATAAATAAAATCTTAAAAAAAAAAAAAGGCTTGGGCTGAGATCAAGAGTCACACTCTTAACTAACTGAGGCACCCAAGTACCGTAAGGTTTTATTTTTTTTTAAAGTAATCTTTACTGGGGCACCTGGGTGGCTCAGTTGGTTAAGTGACTGCCTTCAGCTCGGGTTATGATCCCAGGGTCCTAGGATCGAGCCCCACATCAGGCTCCCTGCTCAATGGAAATCCTGCTTCTCCCTCTCCCTCTGCCTGCCCTTCTGCCTACTGGTGCTCTCTTTCTATCTCTCTGTCAAACAAATAAATAAAATCTTAAAAAAAAAAAGTAATCTTTACACCCAATGTGGGGCTCAAACTCAAAACCTTGAGATCAAGAGTCACATGCTCCACTGAATGAGCTACCCAGGCCCCCTTGGTCTCCCTCCTTAGAGCAAACCTGCATTCCAAGGGTCAGGAGGGTGGGGCAACCAGGGTGTCTATTTGAGCTGCCCATGGTCTTAGAGCGCTCACTGAGTACATAGAGCCAGGCTTCCCCTGCCCCATTTGGAATGTGGGAATTTTTTTTTTTTTTTATTAAGGTTATCTAGCACTATGGCGGTATTGGAGGAGAGAGGGAGCACTCCCTCCTAGCCACTCTACCAAAGTTCATAAAACTGCACCCTTCTTTAGCTGCCTTCTGTTCAAGGGGGATTCCAGCCTCTACCATTGGTTTGCTTCTACTGGGGTCTCCCTGACCCCAGCCCCTTCTTCTCAACCCCTCCCACCCCTCTCCAGGGACCTAAGGTCAGCTTCTCCCAAATCCCATCCTTCCTGACAGTGCTTATCATTGCCAATGTGGCAGAATTTAAAACCCTTCACATTCCTGTATGAACTGGGCCTTTGTCTCAACCCTCCCAAGGAGAAGAGCCAAACTCTTCTGAGAATAAAAGCTTTCTTCTGCCAGCTTCTGCTGCCCTCAGTTTTCAGGAGATCTAGTAATAACACAAGTTAAACACCCCAGGAGGCTTTCATTATTACCCCCTCAGTTCCATGGCTCTGACAAGAGCCTCCTAGGCAGGCCTGTATCCCAAGTGACTGGGGCAGGCAGGCAGGGGGATGGAAAGTGTTGACGCAGGCTTCCTCAAGAGGCCAAAGCGAAAGGAGGCAGTGCCTGGCTGATAGGGCTGCCCCCTACACAGAGCCACCCACTTGGGAGACTCATAAGAGGTAAATACATGCACATTAAGGACACCCCTAGGCCCACAGACACAGAGCCATATGGACTTCCATGTGATCCCGCAGAGTGGCCAAGATGGATAAGGGAGCAGTCATGCCACTGGGAAAATAAAAAGGTAATTTCAAAAACACAGAGAATGAACTATTTCAAATTGCTCTGTAGTCAATGAATTAGTAAAGGACCATGGGTGTGCTTAAACACACACACTGTTTTATTCACTCTGTATCTAACTCCAGAGTACTTCTTAGCTCGCAATGAACATATTTTTGTTTCTTGAATTGAACTGTGTCCCTCTGCCTGATTAGTGTCCAGGGTCTCTGGGGAAATTCAGAGAGAGGTCAGAGGTCTCAAGGAGTTGCTGAAGAAGAGCCAGTGGTTCTTGTGCCCAGGAATGACCCCCACATGCAGAGGAAGTTATCAGACCAGACAAGGCTTATCCTTAATGAAATATCCAAGGCAGCAAATGACTCTCTGGCCCCTTCTAGGGAGACTTCTGGCCCCGGGCCCCTGTCCTGCCCTGTCCTGTCCCTGCCCTGTCCATCCTTGGCTTTTTGGTCAGGCAATAGTCCCAGGCAGCCCCCTGGTCCAGGGAACACATCCATCCTGTGTCTCACTCCCTTGAAGAAAGCTCTGTGCCTTTCAGAGTGACAGGTGGTTAAATCTATCCAGGCTGAGTGTTGGCAATAAAGGGAAGAAAACATTTTTCTCTACTTGTGGGGCCTCCTCTTTGCTCTGAGGTCCAGAACATACATTTTAACTAGGGCAGTATATGTCCATCTCTGCTTTTTGGCCCCAAAGAATGCCTCTTATTTCAGTCCAGGAAGGAGAGAGAGAGCGGGGGAGGGAGGCAGTGTCATGTCAGGGGAGGGATTCTGAGGGTGGCAGACCGGGCAGGGCACAGAAATTGCGCCATATTGTCACCTGGATGGGCTGTTCCCTCACACATATGGTGGGGGAAGGTGGAGGAGAGGCACTGATATCTGGGCCCTCAGTGAGAAGATGCTCCTCCTGTCCTGCCAGCCTGGGACTCCCTCAGGGATGGTACTAACCGCAGCCTGAGCCTCAGAGCCTGCCCACCCTTGCGCCTCCAGCGAGTGAGTGCTGGTAGCCGCCACACGCGGGGACTCAAGCCCACACGTGTGCAGCCGGCCATATAGGCAGACTGGAGACTGACGGTGATGGACAAAGACAGTTCCTGGCGTGGCGGCGAGGGTCTGCTCTCCCCAGGACACACACCTGGGGGATCCTCCCGTCTATGCCACACACGCACCTTCGAGCACACTGCCATGCTGGAACCCAGACTAAGGTTTCCCCGGGCTTGGGGCTTACTGAGAAGATGCGGGGGCAGGGCCTAGAGGGAGGGGTTCATGAGGCTGGAGGGTCGGAGGAGACCTCGGCACTAGAGATAAGGTAGGAACAGTGGGTGGGGCAGGTATTGGGACAGTGAGAGCGATGGGAATTCACAGTAGGGGGTATCTGGGAGAGAGAAAATTGACCTGGCTGAATGAGGGCGTGGCCAGGGGGCCGGCTGCTCTGAGGCGCTGGAAGGGGCTCTGGGAGGGGCTGGGGAATGAATGAGGGAGACATATGGCGGCTACGGCGTTACCTGGGGCGGGGGTGTTGGGAAGGTCTGCGAGCTGGGTTTGCGGAGCGGTCCGCCCTACCTGTCCGGGAAGCTGCCGTCTGGGGCCAAGGGCTCCCCCTTGGGCCGCTGCTCCCCTTCCGGACCCGGGCCGGGAGCCGGACCGCGGCTGCTGCCGCAGCTACCAGCGTCCATGCCCGTGGGCGGCACCGCTGTCCGGGCGCTGGTGCTGAAGCGGTGGTGGCGGCGGCGGCTGGCTCCCGCGCATGCGTCTGCGCCCATCGGACAGATCGCTGGGCGGGGCCGACAAGGCGCCCAGCCAATGGGCGCGGCACCGGAGGGGCGGGGACAGAGGCGTGTGGCGGCCCGGCTGCCCGGCGTCGGAGGCTTGCTGTCTTCAAGACCCCGGGACCTACCCAGGCCAGGTCTGAGAGCTTTTAGGAGTCCGGCCGGCTGGCTGTAGTCCGCACATTGGCCTTTCCCAGAGGGACATCGATTCTCCCCTAAGGGACCAGGAAGCGCGACTCCAGGCACCGTGCGGAGAGCCTCACTATTTGAAACGCACTCTTCAGCCAGAAAGAGGAAGAAACTTCCACACCTGCACTTCACAGTGCAGGAAACTGAAAGGTTGAGAGGTTGGGCGACTTAAGTCCCACATTTCTCTTGCCTTTGCCTAGCAACACCCTCCTCCCCAGTGGGACAATGGCACTGTTCAGGTTGGGTTTGTCTTCACGTGTGTCTGGACCTGGACTTGGGTTTGCAACCCTGGGACCTGGAGCCTGACTTCTGTTATTCAAGTGCGGAGTATGGGGTGTGGGAAGAGGGAGAAAAGAGAATTCACAGCTCTTTTTCTTATAATCACCCCACTTCAGCCTAGGAGGTACCCAACAGCCACTCACTTTAAGACACTTGCTGCTCCACCATCAGGGAACAGCTATGAGGGAGGGGAGGGAGTAATGGGCCTGGGACAGGCCTGGGTAGAGTTGTAGAATAGATATGGGTGATGTGAGAGGCCTGGGAGGTGGGGGGCGGAGAGGGTTCCAGATGTGAGATTTGGATGGAAAGGATTTCACAGCAAGCACACCGGCTGAATGTTCAGGGAGGCGCCATGGCTGAGGAGTGGGGCTGGGGAGTGAGTCAGAACCTACAAGCATTTAGAATATAGGTATCCCTAAACTGTGCTAAGTGTCACTCTATGCAAGGCATAGGTCACTAGGTGGGAGAATCTAGAGGCAAGTGTAGGAGTGGTGGTCCTGTCCTGAATAGCTTACAGTTTGGCTGGAGATATAAAAGGCTAGCCCATAAACTAGTGCCGACTGGGTAGGGTGTGGTCAGGCCCCTGTGATGGTTGATATAAACTACAGAGAAGCGTGCAGCACAAATAGGACCTCTCTCTTCCTCATGGGCTTTAGGGAAGGCTCCATATTCATGGTGGAGCCTCAAGATGGGAAGGAAGCTGGCTGGGAGGGAAGGTATTTTTGACCTGGAGGTGGGGAAGGAGCGGGGGTGGGGGCGAAATAGGCAAAGCTAAGGAGGCTGGAAACGTCAGTGTCTTTTTAGGGAATGGTGAGAAATATAGCTGGACAGTCGGGATTCACTGAAGTCTTTTGATCTGTAGAGCGAGGCGTCTAGATGGAACCTCAGGAGGCCCACCAAGTCTGGGTGTATATGATGGGGTTAAAGTGGTGAGGACACACCTCAAAGTGGTGAGGCTGTTTGATGGGAGAGGGCAGAAGTGAAAAGGAAAGGAATGGTGACCATACACAACCATGTGCCATGGGCACCACTGAGTCAAGCTTCTGAGAATGCCTGGCTGGGTACTCATTTTTATAATTAGGGAATCTGGAGACCACCAGGGCCCCTGGGTGCACAGTTGGATAAGAAGAAAGATAGGCTCTTTAAGAATAAAATATGGCCTCTGGGAGGCTGTTTATTAGGAAGAGAAGATTCTGCTTCAGGCTCCATGCCAGGTCAGCAGGGCAACCCAACTCGGGCTCCCCATTGTTGTGTCCTCTTTCTTCTGCTTCCTTAGTGAGGTGGACCAGGTGGGGGTCCACAGGGCCCTGGGGGGTGGTTCCCCCCAGGACCGTGTCCTGGGCCATGGCCAGGGGGGTGCCCACAGGGCCCTGGGGGGTGGTTCCCCCCAGGACTATGTCCTGGGCCATGGCCAGGGGGGTGCCCACAGGGCCCTGGGGGGTGGTTTCCCCCAGGACAGTGCCCTGGGCCATTGCCACCACCATGGCAGTGCCCCTGTGGAAAGCCAAATGAACAATGTTAGAGTCAGGGGTCAGTGCCAGTCTTGCCTGAGATCAACTTCCCTCTTCCTCTCCCCTCCCCTCCACCTTCTGTCTTGGAGGATTCTGGATTCCTGGACACTAGCAGGGGATGGTGGTGGAGGGCTGGGAGAGAGGGCCAGAAAGTGATGAAGCCAGAGCACTAAGCAAACGAAAGGGGAAGAACCTAGAATCACTGGTTTCCATTCCTTGAGCCAAGAAATGACTCCTACTCCCTGGACCTCAGTTTATTTCTATAGCTAAGGAGCAGAATGATCTCATCTTCTCCCTTTTCTCACCCAGGAACCCTTACAGAGTCATTGGAGATTTTGCCCAGCTAGAAACTGCAGGCTGACTACTCACAAGTGAGGGTGGGCTGGGGGTGGCTCTAAGGGAGCTCCCTGAGGGCCAGGAGCAAGGAGTAGACAAGAGGCAGGGTTAACAGTGATGCAGGAGCCCTGGGGGGTGGTGGGGGGGGTAGCTGGAGGGTGGGAGGAGAACAAAAGCAGGAGGTGGCAGGTGAGGATATGCACGTTCTCTATACAGTGTTTGTGTGTGTGTGTGTGTGTGTGTAGGTGCAAGGGGGTGTGCTCTATTTAAATGCAAAGAGTTATGTCTGTGTACCTGTGCACAGGTGGGCCCCACCCCATGCACAGGTACACAGATAGAGGCACACATACCTGCTGTGCCCCCAGATACACGCATGTAGGCGCCATGTGTGTGCGTGTGTATATGTGACAGTGGGAGCGTGTGTGAGCCCCTGCCTGTCCCTGAGCAGGTGCTAGACTCAAGAAACCAGGAAGAATAAAAATAGTAAAATCAAGGCTGTATTGCCTCAGCCAGCAGAGGCCGGAAAGAGTGTGGCTTAACCTTCTGTCTTTGCTGGAACAATTCCCTAGGCCCCAACGCCAGAGGAGTTTCTTTGCCTCTTGCCACAGGCCCAGGGAAGAGAACGGGAGACACCAGGTACTTTGCTCCTGGTGCTGGGGCACTGGGGGCCTGGAGCCCTGAGGGAACAGGGGTGGGGCTATGGCCCTAGCCCTGTTGGCTTCTGCCCCCTAAGCCCCAGTGAGGGCTTGGCGTGGGAAAAGTAGAGGTAGGCTCCAGGGCTGGGGGGGTGGGGGTGGGGGGGGGTGCTTCCCTTGACCATGTCAGAGCAGCCCCTTCCTCATCTAGCCTCAGTGATGCCTGCAAACAACCACTTCCCACCCCGCCCACCTTTCCTTCTATGAATCTCCTTGGGGTGGGGCCAGTTCCAGGCCTAGGAGACCCATCTGCTGGTGGGAACCCATGGGGGGAGGTGGGTAGGCAGCCTCCTTTCTCCAGCAGAGGCAGGTCACAGGAGCCCTGCAGTGTGGTTGGGGTTTGGGAGCAAGCCAGCCATCCAGGGAGGCTGTGAGGGTAGCCAGGAAAGCAGAGAAGCATGAAACAGGCGGGGAAGCAGCAGGAGAGAAGCTGAGACAGGGAGGGGATGTGAGGAATCGGGAGAGACAGATGGGAAAACAGGAGAGTTGCTGAGGAGAAGGCCGGGGGTGGAGGAGCACTGTGGTGCCCCTGCCTGCCTGCCCATGGGGCTGATGGCCAAGCCTGCTCCCCACTCTTCCATTTCAGGAAGGTCATGGCTACTCCCTGAAGGTCAAAGGAGGGGGCTGGAGGTCTGGAGGACATGGCAGTGGGGAGGAGCAAGGGAGACGGCTGGAGAGCTTTCTTACCTTTGGACCTGTGCGAGAGGAAAGGAGAAAAAGAAGTAGCTTTGGTCATTTGGTTCTGCAGTGAGATATTGTGCTGTCCCCGGGGCCAGATTTTGTGGCCACCAAACTCTGCCCCACCCTCATCGCCAAGCCCTGCAAAGGCTCCTCAGAACTGGTCACTTGCCTGACCATCATTCCTTCTCTCAACAACAGATACAGATAATTGGAAGTCAGTACAAAGTTCAGTTGTGTATCCCTGTTTGCTGGAGAGCTGACGGAGTCCTCCAGGGTGGGGTGAAGTCAGGGGACATGGGTTCTCATCCCCAGCCTGCCGGCTGTCTGCCCTCTCGACCTTGGCCAAATTCCATGACACGAAGGGAGGTACTCCACTGTGGCAAATCCTGACTCTTCTGCTTCCACCTCCAGACGGTCCCCACTCTGCCTCCCCAGTCCACCTCCTCCCCCAAATCTGACTTTTTCTGATCCAGTCTCTGCTCAGACCCTCAGGTGTTCATGTGTTCCTGCTTCTGATCTTCTGGCCCCAGCTCTTAGCCTTTGCTTGTGGCTCCTGCCCCTTGAATAGCTTTTTCGCTCTGGTCTGTGTGCCTTCCTGCAGAAAGTATGGTTATACTGGGCCATCCTGCCACTCTGCTTGCCCACGGTGGGTGTGGTGGGGCTCAATCTGCAACAACCAATCTGAGTGGTCCTGAGCCTTCTGAAGTGCTCCATTGGTGGAAATCATCTGCTCGGAGAGACTGCAATTTCTTGAGGACCAGGATAGTCCTTTGTTCCTTTTGAGGGGAGCCAAGGGCACAGCTGCCAAGAGCTGAGTTCTGGGCTCCAGACCTTCCATATCCCCACAATCTCATCCTGAGCATGGCCCCTAATTTCCCATGTGTACGATGGGAGAAGCACCTGTCTGCTTTACTCCTGAGGGCTAGTGAGATGAAGGCTGTATGAGCATGTCTCCTAAACTCTGAAGGGTTCTACAAGATATAAGAGATTTTTTGCCTCTTAGAACCCTCCACCACCTTCACACACACATATGTTCTCGGCATGCCGTAGATATGGCTGACTGATGGCCTCTGCTCTTACCTGTCTCCTTCCTTCTTCACCCCACAGCCTCCCAGCCACAGCACTTACCTGGATCCATCTTTATCGGCCAAGTACAGGGAGTGACAAAAGGAACACCTGTGGTTCAACAGGTCAAGTTTAGCTGGCTGTAAACTAAATCTCAGTCTTTCCTTCTTCCCCCATCCCACCCCCGCGGGGATGTATACACACAGCTCCTTTAAGGGATAAAAATGCTCCCTCTGGCTTAGCTTGGTACCCAGTATGGAGCTGGGCACGGAGTAGACGCCAGGCATGGGTGGTGAATGCACCCAGTGGGTTCACCCACATGGAGGGTAGACAGGGACATAAAAGTATCATATACTGTCCCCTGAACAGCACACCCTCACACTTGACCCCAGAACCACCCCCAGACTCCCAGTCATGTATTAACTCAATTCCACTTGATCAATGTCAGTCATGTTCTTCATTCACGTGTGCCTACCATGTGCTGGGCCATGGTACCCAGTCCCTAGATTCTTGCCCCCATGTAGACAACTGGCATAAAGGTGGGAGAGGGAGGCTTGAAGACAGAGCAGGGAAGAGCAGGCTGGGGTTGTCAGGGCCTCTGCGGGACTCAGGACAAAGGAATGGAAAGCCTTCCAGCGCCCTAGCTGCTTGTTCCTACCTCCTCCCACCAGGACGTTGAAAGCTGGTGGGAGGCTTTGGGTCTGAGCCAGTTTGTCGTTCTCCAATGAGTGTACTGTCTTTGGAGGGAACTACTGATGTGCTTTGGTACCAAGGCTGGCTTGTCTCGCTTGGAGCTGGAACATCGGTCACAATGCACAACCCCAGAATGGACCCTATGCACACACAATACATTCATTTTTTTCTGACCCCAAGTCAGACTCTAGTATATGATGAAAGGACCAAACACCTGACATCAGGGCACTCTGGTACCCATATGGTTGCTAAACACGCAAGCACACACACAGACACAGATGCAGACACACACACACACACACACACACACACATCTGCACGCATGCACATCCCTAACATAAGAGCCCCAACCCCTTGCACCTCTCGAGTCACCCATTTTTGTTGGCTTCTACTTGTACCACAAATGTTCAGTTGCGTTTAGCCTCTGAGCTATACACATGGTCCTTCCTGACCCTTGAACCTTCCCCTAGTGAGTAATAAGTCTGGAAGAGATCCTTGAAGCTGGGGTGAGGTAAGGGGGTGATCAAGAGAAGCTTAGGACTAAATTAGGTTGGAAGAAGGAGAAAAAACCCAAGCCTGTTAAAAAATGGGAGGCAGATCTGAATAGACATTTTTCTAAAGAAGATGTGCAGATGGCCAATGGCTACATGAAAAGATGCTCAATATCAAATCAAATGCAAATCAAAACTACAATGAGCTATCACTTCACACCTGTCAGAATGGCTAGTATCAAAAAGATAAGAAATAACAAGTGTTGGTGAGGATGTGGAGAGAAGGAAACCTTCATGTGCTTTTGGTACAAATGGGACTTGGTGCAGCCACTATGGAAAACAGCATGGAGGTTCCTCTAAAAATTAAAAATAGAACTACCATGGGGTCTAGACATTCCAGTTCTGGGTATTTATTCAAAGAAAATGAAGACACGGATTAGAAAAGATGTGTGCACCCCGAGGTTCATTGCAGCATTACTTAGAGTAGCCAGACATGGAGGCAACTAAGGGTCCTTCAATGGATGAACAAAGAAAACATGGTACATATATAGAGTGTTCTATTACTCAGCCATCAAAAAGAAGGAAATTTTGCCACTTGCAACAACTTGGGTGGACCTTGAAAGCATTATGCTAAGTGAAATAAGTCAGACAGAGACAAATACCATATGCTCTCACTTATATGTGGAATCTAAAAAAAAAAAACCCAAATCTCCTCAAAAGCACCCTAGCTAATAGACACAGAAAACTGACTGGTGTTTGGTGGTCAGTGGGTGGAGGTGCAAAATGGGTGTCAAAAGGTAAAAACTGGGGTGCCTGGGTGGTTCAGTAGGTTAAGCGTCTGCCTTTGTCTCAGGTCATGATCTCAAGGTCATGCAACTGACCTAATCAACCTACATCAGGCTCCCTGCTCAGTGGGGAACCTGCTTCTCTCTCTCTCCCCTGATTGTTCTCTCTCTGTCAGATAAATAAAATCTTTTTTTTTTTAAAGTATAAACTGCTATGCACCTGAAACGAATATTTTTGTCAATCAAACCTCAATTAGAAAAAAGACGAGACTTGGACTTTTCTCTCCCCAGTTCAGGCCAAGGAGCTTGAAGGATAGGAGTTGGCAGGCAGGTTCCTCCGAAAAGGATCCCCGCACACTTGACTTCCCTGCAGCCCTGAGAGAGACCACTCTGCCTGGCACGGCAGCAGAGGTACCCGGGCTAGTTCTGGGGTGGCCGCCTATGCAGATACACAGACACATGGCCCATAGACCCACACTGTGCTCCTGAGCAACACAGACCGTCACTCACAGATGTACGAGGCCCACACAAGCAGGAACAGAGGCACAGATACCAATTCAATACACATGCACACGTACTCAGAGAAAGCACGACCAGACAGACCTACAACACACTTGCAAAGAGAGCCCCTCCTGTCCACCATCCACAGCCAGCAGAACCTTACCTGAGAGCACAGAGCCAGGAGCTGCAGGAAGTCTGAGGCTCTGTCTGTCCTCAGGTGTATTTGTATAGGGTGGGGAGGGGCTCGATGAATCAGGTACACCAGGAGGGTCATGGGCAGAGGGTGTGAAGGAATGAGGGAGGATGGGCTAATTTTTATCTGGGCAAAGAGCAGCCAGAAGCTTGATGGGTGAGGGTGTGGGTGGGGAGCAGGTGGGGAGGGGGAACAGGTGAAGGGGTTGGGGAACAACCCTTTACCGCATCAGTCTGGTAAGGAGACGCCATAGAACCCATAGAACCAATCAGGGTCTCAAACCTCAGCAACTCTTGGGCTCCCAGTGCTGGGTGAAACTGAAGCCCGCTAACCCTCTGAACCTTCAGTTAGACAAAAGGGCTTGGCCCCTTTCAATCCAGGAGAGCAAGAACCCTGAGAAATCAGAAGCATGCAAGACAAAGCAGAGAAGTTAAAACGGCCACTGTGGCCAGGCCTCCTGGTAAAGAGCCTGGATGGACTGGCTGCACCTGAGCTGCATTTAATTAGTTTTTAAAAAAGTAACATACCCGATTTAAAAAGAAAAAAAAAAAAAAGTAACATACCGAAGAGAAATGAAAACCAGTCCTCAGGAAGGATTCTACTTGAATGTTCATAGTAGCTTTGTTTGCAATAGCTGAAATTGGAAACTGGAAATTTCTCAAATGTCTATCGATAGGCCAAGTGGATAAATTTGTGGGGCATGTTTAGGAATGGACCAACACTCGACAATAAGAAGGGATGAGCTGCGGATATGCGCCAAAACATGCCTGCATCTCAAAATCACTGTGCGGAGTGAAGGAAGCAAGAAATGTATAGTTATGTCAAGAAAAGTCTAAAATTTTATAAAATTCTATAATGTGAGCTAACGCCAGCAGATCAGTGGTTGCCTGGGGACAGTGGGGGTAGGAATTGGGAGGAGGTAGAAGAAGCTCTTAGAGGGGCCTGGGTGGCTCACTCAGTTAAGCGGCTTGGTTTCAGCTCAGGTTGTGATCTCAAGGTCATAAGATGGAGCCCCCCATGGGGATCTGCCGGTAGCACGGAGTCTGGTTGGGACTTTCTCTCCCTCTGCCCCTCCCCACTAGGCAAGCGCTTGCACACGCGCACTCTCTCTCAAATAAATAAATCTTTTAAAAAAAGAAGCCATTAGAAGGGACATGAGGACACTCTGGGGTTTGATGGATTATCTTGATTATCTTGATTGTGGTGATGGTTTCACGGAGTATACACATGGCACATAACAAATTGCACAATTTGTGCAGTTTATGGTATGTCAATTTGGTCTCTGTTAAGAGCTGTAAAAACAGAAGTAACATAGCCACATCAGAAAATGATTCGTGGGGCGCCTGGGTGGCTCAGTTGGTTACTCTTGATCTCGCTCAGGTCATGATCTTACAGTCTTGAGATCAAGCCCCACGGCAGGCTCTGCCCTCAACAAGGAGTCTGAGTATCTCTCCCTCTGCCCCCCACCACGCATGCGCACTCTCTCTCATCAATGCGTAGATCTTAAAAAATTAAAAAAAGAAAATGGTTTGAAAAATGGAGAGAAGGAAAAAAGTGATTCTCCTTTATTTCCATGGTGGACAGGAAATTATTCCTGTATCATATGCTTTTGCACTATCAATGATCTCATACAGGTTCTCGGAGAAAGGTGTTATTATTTCTCCCTTCTTTATAGATAAAAGAAGCCAGGACTCAGAGAAGTTAAGAAACTTGCCTGAGGTCACCCAGCCAATGTGTAGTTAGTCCCAGTCAGGACCCCCAGACCTGGAGCCTCAGCCTCTTTTCCTTAACTTTGCCTTTCCTTTCAGGAATGCTCTTCAGGAAAATTCCAGCCTGCTCTGGTAACTTTGTGGGCAAAGGGCTTTGGGTCATGAGGGCATCAGGGCATCAGGACACAGAGGGCAGCCCAAGTCCCAGGAAGTTGACAGAGGTGTGGTGCCTACAGCTTCCCACCCTCCAGCCCACACCGCGGGGAATGGCACCACCCGCATCCACCCATGTCCCTGACCTCCACAGCCCTGTAAGCCCCCCTCTTCTGGGAAACCTCCTTTCCCCCCTCGGGGCCCTGGTGGCATGATTCCCCACCCCCACCCCCAGCCTTTGGCAGGAGGCTGAAGGGAGAAGGTCTGCATCCTCAGGGACCCCCAAAGGGGGCAGTGGGGCTGTAGGGCTGAGGTGTGCCACGGGGTCCCAGTGCCCTGGGCTCCAGGTTCCTGGCTCGCCATCTCCGGAGTCAGGGTTTGAACTTGGTTCTGAGACCTACAGGCAAGTTGTGGGAGACAAGGAGGCTTTGGGCAGAGCGGGTGGACCTGTGTTGATGGGGTGGACAGAGAAGCTAGGACAGATGTGGTGGCTGTGGCCGGGGAGGGGTGGGATGGGGGCGGTTCCTGCAGCAGGTGATGATGCCCATAGCAGTGGTGCACACTGCAGGGCGAATTTACTAGAGAGTATGATGTGTGTGGATTCTCCCCTGCCCAAACTTAAGATGTGGGTGAGCAGAGCCTCAACCATGGGTGTGTCCCCTCTTTCCCTGGGGACAATGCCTTAGAGATGGTGAGCGCTCACCTCGTGCTTGGAATTACTGTCTGGCTGAGAGAGGTGGTCTTCCCTGCTAGAAAGTCATGAGTGGAGAAGATCAGGGGTCAGTCTCTGTGACCCCCAATCCCTGCCAGCAGAGCCCACTAGCAAGGCGCCGCCCTGCTCCTGGGCTGGGCTGTGAGTCAAGGAGGGAGGCTGGGGAGCCAGGCATCTTTACACAGTACTGGGTGGATGGGTTTCTCATGGCAACAGGGCAAAGGTGGCTGGTCCTGGGCGTGGGCTGGAGAGAGTGGGCAGGGCTGGACATCAGCCTCCGTGAGGCAGCATAGGTGCTGTGGGGACCCCCCACCTCACTACAGAGCCTACTGGGCGAGTCACTGACACTGATCTCCAAAAAGAAGCTAACAACACCTGCCCTAGTTAATTCACACATTTCAAAGATGGATGAGACCAAATGACATCACAGGTATAAGGCCATTGGCAGGGTTGTATGTAAGTGAATGGTGTCCCTTATTTATTTTTTTTTTTTTTTGGAGAGAGAGAAAGCACGTTCTCCCCATCCCCCACCCCCAACATGCATGCATGGCTGAGGAGAGGCAGAGGGACGGGGGAGAGAGAATCTTAAGCAGGCTCCATGCCCAGCTCAGAGCCCAACACAGGGCTCATTCTCATGACCCTGAGATCTTGACCTGAGCTGAAATCAAGAGTTGGACGCTTAACTGACTGAGCCACCCAGGTGCCCCAGCACAGTGTTATTACTGTCAGTATTAGCACCGACAACCTACTGACTTCCTGGCCTCATCATTCCTGCCCTGTCTCACACTGGGATCTTCCTGCCAGATATGTCACCATTTTTGGCTTCTTGGCATCACTGAATATTTTACTAAGAGGCTCTCGAGACATTCCTTCTCTGGCCCAGCCTCTTGTAACACCCACCTTCCCCCTAAGGTGACCAAACATCCAGGTTTGCCTAGGGCTGAGGGTGTTCTGGACGTAGGACTTTCAGTGCTCCAATGGGATCAGTTCCAGGCAAGCCAGGACAACTGGCCACCCTACTTCTCTCCCTGCCCTGAGGCTGCTTCCTCTTCCCTGTAGTGACCACGGTGTCCCAGGCACATTCTCTCTTTCACATGGGTTGTTCTTTCCTGTCTTGAAGCCTCCAGGCTCGGTGATGTCACCTGCAGAGAGGATACGCTTCCCTCTCGGGAGTGGGGCCCCCCTCAGCCATTCCAAAGGCCCCTTCATCTTCTCAGTGGGACAGGACAGCTCTACAATCCCTCTGCCTTCTGTTGGGCTTCTGTCCTTTCTACCCCTCAAAACCCTGCCAGGATTTTCCCCTATGCCTGGAGGGTATGACTCCACCCACCCCTCACCTCCCTGTGGTGAGCAGCTCATGGGGTACAGAGCTGCCTATCCCATGCCAGCCTTCCAGCCTCTCTGTCTGCCCCAAGGAAAGAGTCCCCTGGCTGCATTGCGGGCGAATGGGGGCTGCTCCCCACATCCATGAGGACCCCTGGGCCTGAGTCCTCGATGCCTTGGCCACCCCCATGAGGCCTCGTGAGGGCCCCCTGCTAACTCTTCGCTGGATCCCCACCACTCTGCCCGACCCAGAACCCTCCCTCCAGGATCCGAACACACCCTTCCGTGTGTGCTATTGCCACTTCCCATGACGATTTATGGAACGACCTCTCCCGACCACCTCCTTGCTGAGTCCTGCTCAACCCCTTGAAGCTCAGCTGGGAAACTCCTTGGTTGGGTTGGTTTGAGCTCTGTCGGGCCCTGGCCTCAGGTTAATGCAGAATGGCATTGGCAAGTGCCTCGGAGGTGGAGTCTGGGGCCCTGCCTCTTGGTTCCCTCATCTCTGCCAGGGAAAGCACACAGTAGGTGCCGCATTAATGTTGCAGGCAAGTGCTTGACAAGGCAGCCCTCAGCTTCTGGTTGCAGGCAGCTCCGGGCCAGGGGTGGGGGGCAGGGGTGGGTCCTGGGAAAACACTGGGAGTCACCTTTGCACTCCCCATGGAGAAGAAGGTCCCAAACAAGGGAGACCCCAGGGGTTCATTTCCATACTAGAGTTCATCTCTAACTGACAGGCAGGAGCTCCAAAGCTTGTGATGTCCCAGCCTTGGGTGTGCCCTGGAAAGCAGACCAGAGGAGTGGGTCCCCAGAGCAGCCTTCCTTCCACCTTCCTGATGCCTCGAAGGGCTTCAGTCCCACCCTGTTCTGGCATGTGTGGAGAGGTGAGGCCCAGACTGCTCCCGGTGACTGGAGCCTGGCCAGGCCTTGTCCCTCCAGCTCTACCTCATGTACTTTTGAGTCCTCCCCACCCAGGCGTAGGCCTGGCCTGCCCTGAGAGGCTTGCACAGACTTCAGGTCAGGAGGAGTCAGGACAGCAATTTCTTGAGCCCAGAAATGACCCTAAGGGGGACTGGGTTTACAGGAAAGAAAACCTTTAAGCCACCCTCTGGACCTTTTCCATTTGGCGGGTTGCCTGCCTATTTTCTGGGTGCTCACATGATCCAGCCTGGCCTGTCCTCCTCCTCAACACTCATCCACACACCCAGAGCTGAAGGTGATACCGGTGACCTCTAAGTGCTCCGCCTAGTCAGGAATCGTTCCTGGGTGCTGGGAGGCGAACCCGGAACTGGGCCCTCCTGTTCTCCTGCTGGAACAGAGGCAGGTGAAGCACAGGAGGTACTCCAGAAGCACCAGCACTAGCTGGCCAGAGATGGCCGCCGGAGCCTGGGACTTCAGAGGGGACAGGCACGGAGGAGGAGGGCAGTCGGGGTGGGGCAGGAACTTGGCTGTGCAGGCTTTGTGGCTGGGGTCAGCATGAAGGGAGGCTCAGAGAGGCTGACGGAGTGCCTCAGGGTCTCCCCACCAGGTTACAAGTGGGCCTCATACCTCAGAGGGCTTAGATGTGTGCAGATCCCAGCAGGCTTGCAGGAGGCAGTCTTTGGGGCCCCTCAAAGGATGCTGCAGTGGTAGCATCCAGAAGGTAGCTCTCATGGTTACCTGAGGCAAGAAGAAAACTAGGTTGAACTCCACTCTGGGTTGCATGTTGTTCTGGAGATGGATATTACTGTTATTTCATTTCATCTGCCAATGACTTGGAGGAGTAGGTACACCTCATTTTCCGGATGAGGACCAGAGAGATAAGGGATCTACACAGCCAGTGAGGGTAAAGTTAATCTGAACTCCCCTAGCCCCCTCTGCCTCATCTTACGACGAGCTTGAGGGAGGGCAAGGGCCGGAGTGCTTAAATGTTATTACTCAGGCACGGGTAGGGGCAGCCATTCTGGAAGCAGTGAACGAGGCCCATGAGTGGGGCCTCTGTCAGGTCTGTGCTCCCAGTCTCCGTGTGTGGTCCCGACAGTCCCTTCCTCCCCTGCAGACCTCTCTCCCCTTTCCTCCTCAGTGAAGATTCCCGGACTTGCTGCCATCTTGCCCTCAGGATGAGCTCTGGGTCTGTATACCACAGACCACAAATGGCACCCTGATATGGTCCACTCCAAGTGTGGGGGCTGTGGGTGCAGCTGGCAGGCCACCTGAGAGGGTGGGAGACCAGTCAGGGAAAAGATGGGACCCAGACCCATGGCTGAGGTGCTAGGACCATGCCTCGCCTCAGGGCAGAGAGGACAAGGGCTCAGAGAGAAGTTGCAGTAGAAACAGCAATTTTGGGGGAAGCCTGGGGGTGGGGAGGGGGAGGAGAGTGCTTCGCAGGACAGCAGGAGCCTTGGATTCTAGTCTCATGTATGACCCAAAAGGCTTGTGTGCCCTGGGCAGGTGGTGCTGCCTCTCTGGGCCTCCTCATCAATAATGAGGCTTCTCTAGTCTGGCAGAGCTGGGAGTTTTCTCCTCTGCAGATTGTAGAGACTCAGAGAGGAGCCCGGGAGCAAGAGGGAAGGGGAGGAGCGCCCCCACCGCCCCAGGCTTTGTGACTCTGCTGTCCTCTAGTGGTGGCAGGGAGTAACAGACACATGTCTCTCCCTTCCTCCCCCGGACAAGGGTCCTCTACACTTTGTAAGGCCCTTTACAGCCTATGGCCTCTCTCAGGGCTGCGTGCATTCTGGTTAAAGACATACCCATAGGATACCCACGGGCCTGCACAGGACAGAATGGCTTATTCACGCATATATTTGCTCTGCAAGCGCTGAGGGAGGGTGTGTGGTTTATTTTATTTTTATTGATTTATTTATTATTATTTTTAAAGAGTTTATTTATTTGACACAGCGAGAGATGGTGAAAGAGGGAACACAATAAGGGGGAGTGGGAGAGGGAGAAGCAGACTTTCCGCTGAGCAAGGAGCCCGATGCAGAGCTCGAACCCTGGACCCTGGGATTATGACTTTAGCCAAAGGCAACACTTAACAACTGAGCCACCCAGGCGCCCCTATTTTTTTTTTTAAAGATTTTATTTATTTATTTGAGGTAGAGAGAGCACCCAAGCAGGGGTGGGGGCAGAGAGAGGGAGAAGCAGACTCTCCACTGAGCGAAGACCCCTATGTGGCACTCGTTCTCAGAACCCTGAGATCATGATCTGAGCAGAAGGCAGACGGCTAACCAACTGAGCCACCCAAGCACACCAGAGTCTGGGGTTTAGAAGGGCACTGTGCCAGGCCCTGGGGATCTGGGGGCACTTGGCACACCATTTTTGCCCTCAGAGAGCTTCTGTCCAGTGAGGGATCAGATAAACACACCTCGGACTCTGGAGAATACAGGACAATGTCGGGGCTGCTCTGAGGTCTGACATATTGTGTGACACTTGGGAAGGGTGGGGCCAGTGATTGCGGGGTCCTATCTGGTCAATGGTTTGTCCTGGGCACATGGGCCTGCAGCCTGAGGGGCCCAGAGGCCTTTGTCACTGGGTTAGGAGAGTCTCTCCCTTCAGGCAATCCCAGAAGAGCTGGGTCGCCCTCCTTATGGGACGGCTGGATTGCTACCCAGGCCTCCTGTTCCCCTGCTGCTGTCTCACCACAACTCTGGCTGGGAACAGGAGTGAGAGGCGCAGCTGACCTAGCCTCCCCATCCACCCGCCCCTCGTGGCCTCCTCTAGCTATACCCCACTGCCCCAGACCTGGTTTGGGAGCCTGGGTTCCAGAGATGATAGAGAACATTAGGTCTCAGCAGGTGGATCTCTCCATCCCAGGCTCGTGCTGGGCAGGCCTCCCAGTTCCAATACCACAGTGCGGGGGAGGCGGTGGGAAGCTGGGCTGCCACCAGCGACACTTGGGAAGGGTGGGGCCAGTGACTGTGGGGCCCAAGAGGGCCCTGCCTCTGGCCTTCTGGGGCTAGGCTGAAACTCAGCAGCATGTTTGAGGCAGTGCCCAGAGAGGGTGGGAGAAGGACAGAGAGGCAGAGAGAGAGAGAGAGAGAGAGAGAGAGAGATCCGTTCGGGGAGAGGAGCCTGGGTGTGTCACCATTGCTGGGAGTTTGACTCAGTGAGAACATCCGGCAGGAAAGGAAGAGAGAGTGTGATGGCATTTCCAAGCAGGATGGGAACTCTGGGGCTGTGGAGACTGGCTGTGGGGTCAGGGGTACTATGTGAAGGCCTGGCCAGGAAAGAGGCTAACCGTGGTGGGAATGGGAGGAGGGCAGGAAGACAGGGTTCAAGGGGAACAGAGATTGAAATGCTGGCTGACTAGGCTGGTCTGGGGAGGAGAGAGAGGGCAGTGGGGCTGGAATTAGGGAAACTGAGGCTTGGTCAGGTGGGATGTGGGGGATGCAGAGAATCTCTGACCCTCCCTTTAGGGCTTAGAGGTTGGGGCCCTGTAGCTATTGAAGGAGACCACAGGTACCCCTGATCCAGAGACCCCCCCATTACCCCAAGCCCCAGCTCCTGGAGGCTCCACGAGTGGGACTGCCAGGCCAGCTGCTCCCCTGGGCACTGGGACCAGCCTCAGCTGTACTGGGAAGATTTGGGGAGAGATTTTCTTGAGAAAGGCTGCTTCTTTTATCGGGGTGGGAGAGGCTTAAAAGTCAGCTGTGGGGACCAAGGTTAGGAAGGGCCTGGAGTGAGGAACCTGGGTGGGGAAGGCTGTAGGCAGACCCCAAGCTGCAGTGGTATGGGCCCTGCAGGAAGGGCCAGTTCCCCACACACCGAGGGGAGACTCGAACCCCTGAGCCTCTCAGAAGTGGTTGTGCTTTAAAACACAGGGAAGCCAGTGTTCTACGTCAAGGAATGACTAATGGTGTCATTTCAGGTATGTAGTTGTATTTGGTGGCCTAGGGGAGGTAAGCTTCTTGATCCCTCCATATGAGTTAAACCAGAGCTGATGAGGACAGTAAAGGGGGGGCTCATTGAGGTGTGGGCCCTCAGACTAGGACAGCTGGTGGGCTCAGCTGCATCCCCCAGGCCTTTCTTTACTGTTGGGAGAGATGGAGGCTTATGTTGGCTGCCTGTGCATTGGCAGGTAGGTCCAGGCTGGGGCTCTGCTGGGCGAACAGCCTCAGAGAAGGCAGGGCCTGGGGCAGCCAGGCCCCCTGTGTGGGGTCAACCCGACAGAGAGAGGTTCCTGCCTGTGTCTCTGGGGACGCTGGGCCAGGGCTGGGAGAGGAGCTGGGCAGGGCCGGCGCTCTGGTCCTTGCCCTCTGAGAGTGGATGGGTGGGGGTGGCGGCGCGCATTCCTGGCTGGGAGCCCAGAGGAGTCTTTTGTAATCACAACATGATCTCGTGTGCTGAGCAGTGAAGCCGGCAGGGAGAGGCCGGCAAAGGCCCCGGCTCCGGCTCCCGTGGCTCTGCAGCTCCGGCTTCCCTCCTGCTCTGGCTCCCCTGGGGCTGTTCTGGAATTCTCTCGGTGCCCACTGTTACCATGCACTCAGCTGTGAGTGGCACCTCACCTTCGGCGGGGGGCTTCTTGGGGCCGGGAGGAGGCTGGGACACCAGGCGGTCACACTCTGGGGACAGCTGGGGACGGCTGGGCCTGGGAGGAAGAGGGCTGTGCCTAGGCCTTTGGGGATCTGGGCAGGGGCCTTTGGCTGCAATGGAGACCCTGCGGCCAGACAGGGAAAGACCTGGGATCTAGGGGCAGAGGCCTGGCTTGCTTGGGTGGCTCCCTGGCCGGGCCTGCACACGGAACTGGCTCTCTTCTGTCCTGACTACCAGCAGTTCCAGGCCGGGAGAGACTGGGCCCATGAGAGCGGCTCTTTCCCACAGTCAGGGCACAAACCTAGGGAGTGGAGCCCAGGGCCTGGGAGCCCAGCACAGAGCCGGGGCCTCTCTTTTTACTGTGGTTCTGGGCCTGGGAGCCAAACAGTGCCCCCCGCCCCCCACCGACCTCCTGGATCCCCTGGCAACTTCCCAGTCCCCGCAGGTTCCGCTGCCAGAGCCATTTATAACTCTCATTCCAGGCTCTGCTCAGCGGTGGAGCTCCCTGGAGAGCCCGGGGGAGGGGCGGCCCACTGCTGGGAGCTGTGGGTGCGGGGGTGGTGGTGGTGGTGGTGGTGGGGAGGGTAGTAAGGCCCTGACCTGAGCCTCTGAGGAGGCAGAGACAGGTGGACAAGCCCAGCAGAGTGGGGACTTGGGGCCTTCCATGTGCCATCTCCCCCTGGAAGCTTAGCTCTGGGGCTGGGGTCCATTTGTAGTAAGAAGATGCTTCTCAGGTAAATGTGAAAGTTAGGGGCCTGATAAGGGACGGGTACAACAGTCAGGAGCTTGCCACCCCCGCTTGACTCAGGGACCTCACAGAGCCGAGTCACCCATGAGCAGGCAGGAAGAGAAGGATGCCGAGCTGGACCGGAGGATAGTTGCCCTTCGAAAGAAGAACCAGGCCTTACTACGTAGGTACCAGGTGAGTGGGCTGTGATGGGAGCTGGAAGGACTGACTGAGTTGGCACTGCCTGTCTGACCCCCTGACCTCCCCCGTGCCCTCGCACTGTGGTCTTTCCCTGCAGGCGCTAAGCCTGGGGTCCGAGTTACAGTGGTGTGGTCCCTCTCAGAAACTCTGTGAGGGTCCCGGGGATGCTGTGATGTGGTGCCTCTGCCCCCTGGTGTCCCACTGGTGTCTCTCTGTGTAGGCCTTTCTGTGTGCATCTGGGGGGCCGTGGCCTGTGCTGACCCAGGGCCCTCCCGCAGGAGATCCAGGAAGACCGGCGGCAGGCAGAGCAGGGGGGCATGGCCGTGACCACAGCAGAATTCCTCCAGCCTGATGGCCTCACTGTCACTATCAGCCAGGTTCCTGGTGTAAGCCAACCTCCCCCACCCCAGGAAGAGAGGGTGGGGTGGTAAGGAGGTGGAGGCCCAGCCCATGTCCAAGTCCAAAAAGGAAACTGCTCTTGCTCCTCTGTTTCCTCTGCTTCCACTTCTGGGGTTCACCCTTCAGCTCCCAGCCTGAGGCAGCCTAGCCCATTGTGGTTCCCCTGACCCCAAAGGCCACCAAATCGAGTCCTCCTCAAGCCCTTTTCCAGGTGAATGTGAAAGTTAGGGAGGGCCCCACCCAAAGCCCTGTGCCTGTGTTCTTAAATCCCAGGCCACTCCTGAGCCACCAACCCTAGAGGGACAGAGAAGGGTGGCTGAATGCCAGGAAGAGTGCAAGGGACAAAGTCCCATTGTCCGAGCGCTCTGGATTTCCCAGCTCAGAGATGACAGGCTGTTGTGGCATCTTGGGCCCTGGGGTGGCCCCGGTCCCTGGATAACTTCATGGCACCGGCATGTGAATGCCCCAGGGAGTCCGCTCCTCTGTGGGCATTCCAGGGAGGGCCAGGGCTGGAACCCAGCCTGGGGAAGCTTCCAAAGGACTCCGTCCCCAGCTTCTGCTCGGCCCTGGCCATGTGGTCTGAGGGCATGGCATCTCATTCTGCAGGGGAAGCGGGTGGTCAGCCGGAACTGGGCAAGACCCCTCAGACCTGGAGCAGCTGACGAGATGCTTGAGGATGAGGGAGGGGATGACCACACTGGTACTTTCTGTCTGGGGCAGCGGGTGGAGCTGGCTGTGACCATGGAAAACAAAGCCGAGGTGAGCAGGTTGGGCAGGGGAAGCCAGGGCATCAGACCAGCAGCCTCTTCTTACCAGACTGTGCCACGCTGCCTGTCCCCGCCTCCCCGCCTCCCATCCCAGGCCAAGCGGATCGTGAGTGAGAAGCCCAGCAGAGCAAGGAACCAGGTCGCAGAAGAGTCACGTGGAAGGGGCTTGGGCCGGACCCCCTCCATGCAGATGCCCGTCAGCTCGGATTCTGCACGGAAAGTACATCTTTAAGAGGGGATGGGGACATGAAAATGGTAGTCATCATTTGGGGGAGGCGGAGAAGCTGAGTCACTTGTGTCCCCTATCTCTGGGGACATGGCCCAGGCAGCCCCAGCAAGAATTCCCACCCTTTCTTCCTTTCTCTGGCCAGTTTCCACATTGGGTGGGCCTTACCCTGACACGGTATGTCAGAAGTCAGCCCCTTACCCTAACTGGATTTCTGATGCAAGCATGTGGGGGCCTTGGGGGTGGGCCGTGTGCCAGGTGTGACCTCTAGGTGGCAGCAGCCCCTAGTCCTGGCTCTTGCTCACTGCTGCTGGGAGCTTCTCCACTCGGGGCCTGTCCACACACACACACACCTGCAACAACCCAGCAGATAGGTGCTATTATTAGCCCCATTCTATAGATAAGGAAATGATACACAGAGAGGTTAAGTAACTTGCCCAAAAGACACAGCTAACATGTGACTGGAAACGGTGCCTATGGCAAACGAACATGTCAGAGACGGAATGGATTTCATTTTTAGATGGGGACGTCAAAACCTTGAGGGGAAGGGGCTGATAATATCCAGATTTTCACTCCAGGTCCAAGGCTTCCTGCTTCTTCCCCATGGTTCTGTCTTCTCCTTCAGGGTACTCGGGAGTCCCAGAGTCCAGGACTGGTCCCAGGCTCGGTTCCTCACTGGCCCATGGGGGGACCCTTGGAGGTGGGCTGGGACTATGCCCAGTGGAAGCAGGAGCGGGAGCAGATCGACATGGCTCGTGTGGCCAGGCACAGAGACGCACAGGGTGACTGGCGTCGGCCGTGGGACCTGGACAAGACCAAGCCCACGTGGGTGGCAGGGCTAGGGAGCTTGTTGAATTGACATGCTTATGGGGCTTGGGGTAGGACTAACTGTGGGTGCTTTTTGGAGGGCTGGTGGGACCCTCTCCAGGGTGGTTAAGGTCTGTCTGGGCTCTCTGGTGGGACCTTAGGCTGAGAGGGTGGGCACCGGGTCCCCATTTTTGGGGGCTCACCATTATCTTGTTGTCGTCGGTTCTATGGTTGGAGCTGGGGGAGGCAGGGGTTGTGTGGGTCTCGCTATAGCTTGTGTCTGCCCCACAGAAGCCTGACTTTCTGGCTCCACAGGCTACAGGACTCCAGCAAGCTTCAGGAAGAGGGCCTGGCAAGGGTGGGCGGCACCAGGGGTGAGTCAATACCCACCCCAGCCCCTTCTCCTCCTTGGCTTTCATCACAGCACCCGCACCTGTCCCCTCATGCTTCCTCTCCTTTCTCTGTCTCTTGGCATAGCACTTATTTTTGGAGCTGGAAGGAGGCATGGAAGAACATCTTACTTCCTCTCCCTCATTATCAGAGCAGGGCACCTTCCCACCCCCTAAATCCACAGCTCCTACCCTGGGTTCTGACCTCAGAAGGTCTAGGGGAGGAGGCTCACAAGGAAATCTGCCCCGGGATCCTTTCAAGGTTGGTCCCTTATGGGCGAAAGCTCCAGTTTCCCTGCCCCTGGCCTGTTGGAGGAACAGAGATTTTAGAATTGCTAGTTCCCTAATTTTACTTGTGAGGAAGCTGGGGCTGGAGAGACTCAGCAACATCAACGGGGGCACAGAGACCCAGCTCTCTTGATCCCCAGACCCAGGATCTTTTGGGGAGTCAGAAAACCCACTCCTGGACCAAGAGAAAGATGGACATCTTCCTGGTCCTGAACACTCCTGTTACTGCTTTTGATCCTTTATCACCCCACTCTTTCTCCATTTCCTTTGCCTCGCTTAGGTCCCAGGAGCCACCGGAAATCACAACCCCCACCACTGTCCCTTGATGGTAAAGGTGAGTTGAGAGAAAAGAAGCAGGTTTGCATGAGCTGGGGACGGAGCTGGGCTGCCATGACCCTCTTCCCTTCTTGAGTTGTGGACCATCTCTTGCAGGTGGTACTACTCGGGGTGGGCAACCCAGCAGACCCTCAGTGGTGTCGGCCACACGAAGCAAAGCCCGGGGGACAGAGAGGCTGACCGGCAGGGCCCGCAGGTAACAGATGGCAGGGGGCAGAATTGGGGGAAGCATCTGGGCTCCCTGATTTCCTGGATCTCCCTTGGCCCTGGGAGGTCAGGCTCAGCACTGGTCCAGGTGGCTGCTCCAGCCCTTGGGGCTGCTGCCTTCTGCCTGACGGCTGCCTGGAGGCAGGTTAATGAGGTTCGGGGAGAGGCCAGCCGCAAAGGCGGGAGCCACGAGAGCCTGGTGCCCAGGGAGGCCGGCAGTAATTACAGCAGTTGCCTTCCCCTGGGAAGTCGGGCGTGCCTTTCCCAGGCGGTGCAGGCAGAGACACATCCAGAGCCCCCATGGAACTTGGTGCTGCGGGCTCAGCCATAAACAGTAGCTGGGGACCTGGGATGGCGCTCAAGTGGGTGGCGTTTGGAGGAAATGGCTGGATGGGGAACAAGGTCAGGCTGGAAGGGGAGCATCCTGGAGCCTTTTTCTGGCTCTGAGGCTCCTCTGAGACCCTTGGCTCTGGCTGCTTCCTGGGAACATGGGCCACTGGCTACAGAGGGACAGAGGGACGTGAGGTGGGGTGGGGAGGAGTAGGGCTTGCCATGTGCTGTGTTTCTACAGGTGGGAAATGAAGGAAGTCAAGGAGGAGCCACAGAACCAAGAGGTGGGTGCTTGGAAATAGGATGGGGTGGGCCAGGGGCATGAGCTCTGAATCCGCCAGCCAGCAGGGCCAATCTCTTGTTTCAGGGAAGTCAAAGTACCAGAAAGACCTGGAGCGAGGAGGAACATTCACAGAAGCAGAGCCCGACGGAGCTGGGCCGACGCACAAGTGCCCCAGCAACTAGCCCAGCCCCAGGATCCCCAGGGGGCCCAAAAAGGGAATCAGGAGCCTCCATAGCCAGTCCAAACCCTAGCTCTCCACAAAACACTGACTTAGTTCCCCTTGACCTTTCTCTTGGAGGGGCCAGTAGCCCTGGGTCTGGGGAGAGTATGTGTGCACTCACTCTAAGGCCTGGGGCCCAGGAGAACCCAGTGTCCTCGCCACCACCAGATGGTTCTGAGCAGATCCTGGGGTGGAATGACACCCAGGCTGAGCCAGAAGTACAGCCTAGTTCCGAGCCACAGGGAGAAGCAAGGCCCCTAGAGCCCAGAGAAGACAGGTCTGGCAAGGCTGGGGCCCAGCAGGCCTTGGCACCACGAAGCAGGCCGCCCAGAGGAATGGGCCAAAGGGCAAGGGGCACAAGAGGTATGAAAAGCAGGACAGGAGGGCCTGGCCCTGCAGGAAGATGCTGAGTAAAACTCCTGGGAGCACAGGGGCCGGGCTGGGGAGAGGAAGAGTGAAGAACACAGGCGGGAGTCTGGCGTGGGATGGGTGTGTGGATGCAGGTGGCTTGTGGCTGTCTGGCTGCACAGCTGTCCTTCCTTACACCTCATGGGCACATCCATAGGCATGTCCCATGTATAGGTGTGTTTTTACCTGCAGGTAAAGGTCTTGGTATAGTCCTATGCCACGCCTGGTCTCTGAGACTGGTGAGCCCCGTCTTGGGTCTATTGCCACCCAGGCCACTAACTTCTTCCCTGCCATGGCAAAGTGAGGCTCAGACGCACTCAGCACCTGGCACTCCAGGCCTCTCTCACCCCGAGGCCTGGCTTCTCTTTCCACCTGTGGCTTTGGCTCCTTAGGTGTAGGCAGCCTCAGGAGCCAGCAGGCCCAGTCTAGGCCTGGGCTCCTTCCCCTGCCTCTGCCTTGCACCCAGGTGACTCACAGCCCCACACTCCCAGGATGGTGAAACCAGGGGAACCTCAGCCATCAGCTGTCAGCCTCTGGCCTTTCTGCAAGAGAAGACCGAGGCTCGAAGAAAGGGAGGCCACAGCAGGTAGGGACTGAGCTGGGGACAGAAGAGCAGAGCCTCTGCCAAAGAGAGAGTCCCTGGGAAGGCCTCCTCTCTAAAACAGCCTGGGGTTGGGTGGGGAGAGGACAACCTCTTCTCCCACGGAAGGATGGGAGGGTTCATGATCAGGGGATACCCTCCCCCATACCCAGGCCAGACATCAAGTGTACCATCAAGACAGCATTGAGTCGGTGCTGAGGGCAGCCCAGGGCCATTTCCTGCCATCTCCTACTTCCTCTTCCCCGCCACCCCCCTGCATTACCGGCACACCAAAGCGAGGACTCAGACAAGGGACAGAGAAAGGGGCTCTATCTAGCTCAGTACAACTTCAGAACTTGTCTTTCCTACTTGGTCTCCATTCCCGCCCCTCCCCTGAAGCCCACGGCTGGTGAATTATTCAGACTCCACACAAGCTGTGGCTTCCTCTCTATTCAACAAACATTTCCTGAGCACCCACCAGCAGCAGTGCAGCCGGTGGGCGATGGTGACTCTGCCAGCAAGAGGGAGGGAGAAACCCAGGCATCCAGCAGATCTAGGCGGCACAGCAGGCAACGTTCTTGGCTGTAAGAGCCTGCTAGGAGCTGGGGATGGTGGTAGGAGCCCAGAGAATCATCTCACCTCTGCTTGAATAGGCAGGTGCCCCTTCCCCTCTCACTATGCATGGATCTCCCCATGTGGCCCCCCTCCTCCCCTCCCCTTTGGCCCTGCCATGGCTCGTCCTCCCTGTTGGGGGTCCCGGGCCTCCCCAGCCTCTCTGGCTTCTCTAGGGAGTGTCTAGATCATCCCCAAGTGTTCTGTCCTGTCAAAGTGAGGGCTGAACTGTGGGGTCACAGCTTCCTCACGGGCTCCTGCTCTGCCCTCCACCCCTTCTACTCAGGAAGCATGAGTAGGGAGTGTCTTTTCAGCAGATCAGTGTGCTCCTTGCACGTTAAGGTGCAGAGTAATGCAGATTCTAATTCTGTAAGGTCTGTGGTGGGCCTAGAAATGTGCATTTCTAATAGGCTCCTGGAGATAACTATGCTGCTTGTTCTTGGACCACAGGTTGAGTAGGAAGGGTTTGGGCTAGAATATATGGAGGGCCAGGGGCAGACAGACTCTAGACTCTGAGGACTTATTGCTGGCTATATCGGGGAACTGGTGAGGGCTGCCCCTGCCAGGTGGGGGCTTCCTGGCTTCAGAGTTGGGTGGGAAGCTGAGGCACCTGGGAAGACTCTCTAAGAGGCCAGTGAGTGGGTGATGCCAACTTCCTGTAGTGGGGAGTGAGGAAGTTGCTTGGGAATGGGATGAGGTGAAGGGGGTGGAAGAGGTTGGTATGGGGTTGGAGGAATTTTTTTTTTAAAGATTTTATTTATTTATTTGACACAGAGAGATCACAGGTAGGCATAGAGGCAGGCAGGGAGGGGGGGAAGCAGGCTCCCTGCTGAGCAGAGAGCCAGGCGGGGCTGTATCCCAGGACCCTAAGATCATGACCTGAGCCAATGGCAGAGGCTTAACCCACTGAGTCACGCAGGTGCCCCAGATTGGAGGAATTTTAAAGAGGCTTGGGAATATTCTTATGCACGTGGGAAGGAGACTCCCATGAGATAGGAATAGGTAAAGGTGAATGACTCCAAGCTCAAGTTTGCCTCTTGCCCACCAGTCATCCATAGATACATTTGGAGCATGACCCTGGACTTGACCCATGACTCCCAAAGGATGGAGCTGGGGAAAAGCAGATTCAGGCAGAACCCTTGAATTCAGAGATCTCCAAAAATAATCATGGTCAAGAATTTGAATTCTGCTCCCCAACCCCCCAGCGCTACCAAGAGTATAGGCCAATGTATGTTTGACTATGGGATGAGGACATAGATTTGGGGCAGAGCTCTGGTTCAGCCCTCACAACCCGACCTAAGCAGGAGAGAAAGCTGGGTTATGAAGGGCTATCAAGAAAGAGAGCTTCTCTCGCGGGATGTCCTGGGAGTCACTAAGGGTTGGAGAGTGCAGAGACTGGCCCAGGACATCTTCCATATAGGAAGACTGTAGTGCCAGGCAAGTATCATTGAACTTTTCTCAAAAAAGAGGGAGCACTTCTTCAGGATAAGAGAACCAGCAGCTATGGTGGCCACCCTCCTTCCTTCGGATGGAAACAGCTATGGAGCAGGAGAAAAGCATGGACCACCCTCCACAGACCTCAGGATCATGGAAGCCTGCCTATAGCAACTCCTGGCTCCTTTGTTGAAAGGCCTGGCTGGGAGATTTCCTCTTAGAACCTCCTCTCCAACCGACAAGCCTCTCCTCAAAGGTGGGAAGTTTTTCATGAGACACTGCTCTCAGGAACCCAGGCACAGAGCTGGAGGAACAGAGAAGGAAGCTTCCCGAAGAGGAGTAGGGAGATGATAGCTTTACTTAAGGCCGTATAACCAGGAGGGCGGAAAGGGCAGAAGCTAGCTCTGTCCTGAGCCCCTAGCACCTGGGCAGAAGGGAGCAGCAGACCAGATTGCAAGGGAGGTATGTTTTTGGAGGACTGGCAGCATGGTAGAGTGGAACCTACGTAGGCCTTGGAGTCCAACACACTGAATCTTAACCTATGTCTGTCAGCGGCTAGCTGGGTGACCTTGATCAAGTTTAACCTCCCCAAGCCTCAGTTTTCTTAGTTGCAAAATGGGGCCAGTAACAACCCTAAAGGGTTATAAAAACAAATTAAAGATAAGAGTATGCAAAACATGCCCAGCTCACTAAGTAGGCAATGTAGAAACAAGAGCCTGGCACTCAGTCAAATGTGTTGAATAAATGAAGTAGCTGTTTGGTTTGATCTCTGTCTACTTTGTTTTCGATTTTCTCCTTTACCTCCTTTTTTGGCCTCACCTTCACTGGGGTCAGTGCACTTCAAGGAAATAAGGGATGGTCTGTAAAGTTTACTCAGCCTTCCAGGGAAATGACCTTCTTAAAGGAAGGTCACCTGGGGGAGTCGAGTGGAGTTAAAGAGACTCACACAGGGACCCTGCTCTTACTGGGTATTCTTTGCCCTCCGCATTTCCTTTAACTCCACGCACCAACTTTCATAACTCAAGAGTTTCCTCTTTTCTTCCACTAATGTCAGTGGTAATTTCATGGACTCCCACCACGGTCTTTGCTTATTATTTTCCCCAGAATTAAAACTCCCTTGTAGGGTTTGCTCTATGCCTCCCAGAGTTAAGTTTTTGTTTTTGTTTTCTCCAAAGGAGCAGCATGACTGTATTTTCTTATGGTCAAGGGACAGGTAACTGGGGAATCCCTAGCTATCTCGTAAGGCACACGTTTAGAGGGTTTGACCATCAGTCAACTCCAGCCCTGATCCTGGCCTCAGGAATAACAGGAAAAGATGGTACTAGCCACCGCCACCCCACAAAAAAAAAAAAAAAAAAAAAAAAAAGGAAAGAAAAACCCACAAAGGAAATAGCTATAATCCCCATGTGGCTATCTATGTCTTCTTATTTTGGGGACAAGGTTGGGAAGGGGGGGGTCAAGGGAATAGGAGAAACTAAAGATACAACTTCACTCTGCCTCTCCAGTCACTTATCAGCACCCACAGACCCCAGCAAGCAGCTCTTCTGAGCGAGGGCTGCCCCCGGGGTGACCACAACTTCACTGAGGGGAGACCCTGAGGCTGGGAAAGCAGGGAGTGGAGCAGAGCTGCAGAAAGCACAGACTGAGGCTGCTTTCTCTCAAGTGTGCCGGCCTGCGTCACAGCCTCTCATTAAGCAACCACTTGACGCCGGTGAAGTGAAACAGCACAGACCTGGCACCAGAAAGAATGAATGTGGCACCCACTGCTCCTTTTAAGGACTGACACGAGGAGCACAGGCCCTGGGGCAGGAGGTGAGGCAGACACAACAGTACCTTTGTGGGAGGGGAGAACAGATTTTTGCAGGCCTGCATCCTTCTTAACGAGCTCCTGGACAAGTTCTCTGGGCACCTTCAAAAATAACCAGTAACACAGGCTTTTCCCCTTTTTCCTACAAACTCTGGGGATACGGCGTTTCCTTTCTCTCCAGCAGGGCAGCTGGCTTCAACCAAGAAAAAAGGTCAAAAGTCACCTTGTAGCCATCTGTCAAAACAAAAATACCTAAACCCTAAGTTCCAGAATCAGAGGGAGAGTCTGGGCCGGTGGTTCTCAGGTTTTAGTGTCATAATCACCTGGAAGGCTAGTTACACACAAAGTTGGGCCCTACCTTCTGAAGCTCTCATTCGGTTGGTCTGGGAGGGGGCCGAGACATGGCATTTCTAACACGTTCCCAGGTGATGCTGATGCCGATGGGCGTCAGGGTATAACGTTTCTCTCCAGGTATCATTTTGCCCAAAGGGATGGGCACTAGCTTGAAACTATGTTACCTCCTATGTATACGTGGTAACTTCAGTCCCCAGATCTCCAGGCCATCTCACATCAATTCCCTCCAGTGGCTCTCACGAGTTCCCGTTGGGTTAGGAGGAAAAAGTGGGGCCAAGGCCTAACCAGTGTCATTACTGAGTCTGCAAGTTTCCTATTTTTCAGTTCAGGGT